ATCAAACTTATTGAAGATGTACTATTCCTTTGAGCTATTTTTTCGGAAAGGTTTAAAAAAACAAATAAAAAATGCGCTTGTTTCCATTTAACATTTCTAAATGACAAACGTAGCCGTGCAACGGTAACGGTAATTTACCGTTTTACCATATTTTACCGGTAACTGTTACCATTGTATGCGTAGACAAATCTATACCCAAATAGCTTAATGAATGTACAAAACAGCATTTATTTGACACAAAGCCAAAAGTAATATTTCGTTTTAAGTGCTTTATTTTTAGCATATAGTCATTCTTTTATAATGATCTGAATCTTCAACTTCAACTTAAAGTTTTTGTTCAATTTATATCACTTTTCTTATTAATGATCTAGTTGCTTGCTCACTTTTTTGTAAGAACCTGAAATGAACTTTTCTAAATATATAAAATGCAAAATAGATTTTGAATAAAGTAAAGTTACTCAATTGAAAATCTAAACGTCAAATTTCTTAGATGTATTAATAAAGACGATACGAAAACTCGACATACTGTACAACTCAATAATTCACATAAGACTAATCACAAAAACGTTTCTAAGAAGTGTGTGTTCGTAGAACTGAACCTGAAGTGTGAACGATGTTTTTTCCCTTTTTAATAAAGATTTGTCGGTAGGTAATGATTAAATTTAATACTACTGAATACTGATATTTGAAATAGTCTTTTGTTTTTCATTATCACCTGGCCAGGTGTAAGTTTAACTTCTGCTATAGAGAAATTCTATAAAAACTTTCTCTTTTGTTTAAGAAGCTGCAATTTTTATTCTCAAAGCGCTGTTACGATTGCTATAAAAGATGAAAGTATTTGCTGTTATAACGTTGTACATCATAATTCATTCTAAAAAATAGCTTTTTATATGTTAGAAGTTTATATTTCTCATATATCTTAGAGATAAAAAGTAGTCCCTTTCTCTTGTAGTGGTCTCAAGAAGATAATTATAGATAGTTTTTCTAAAATTTTATACTTGATCAAATTGTTCTCAACGGATTCTGAATAGAGAGATATGATTCTAGATTAGTACAAACGTCGAAGATGGATTATTCCAATGAATCGTATTTGTACTTTGATCTAAAAGATAAGTCTAATTCTGTTTTGAATTCTTGCAAATCGATTACACCAAGACCTTCCCATCGAGTGAGAAATCTATCTGCGGGAGAAACTGTCTGATCTAACGGAAATGTTTAGCGAGTGTTAGTCTAGTCAGGATAAGTTCACTGTCAAAATTTGAGCTCAAAATCTTGAAATTTTTCTGAGTTATCTTAGATACAATCCATGGGGAATTTAAGCATAGAAAACGGCGTGTACATCCGCGAATATGGTGAAATGAATTGTGGTCGCACATTAACATCGTAAAATGGTGCGTGGGCACGCGTAGAAAGTATATTCCACTTGCGACAATTGCTTCATGAAACTTTTCGCGCCATATTTTTCGCACGTGGTTACTAGTGAAACATGCAGTTTCTTGAAATTTAAATAAAATAAAGGATGGGAGCCGATAAGGCCACTTTCCGTCCCCCAACAAAGTACAATGAATTATACGTTTTCGGAATCAGCGTCGAATTCTAAACAAAACTGTCGCTTCACTTTTTCGAAACTCGAAAAAACATTTTTTTGTAGGGTGTTGTTTGCAAACATCCGATAATGTTGAAAAGATCCGCATGCAAACACACTCTAGCATACTCAATTTTTCACGCTCTTTCCGCTGGTAGCAAAATAAAATAAAAAAAGATGGCAATCTTTTAAAAAGTGCTCAATTTTTGCCGCTGATGTAAGAAAAACGGCACAAATGAACTTTTTAAGAATATTAAGCAATCAAACGAGTGTGTATCGCACAAAACTGTGTTCATCTTCATCGTCCTCATCGTCTTCATCATCTTCCTCGTTGTCTGAAGAATTTTCCAACCTTTCATTGGCACCTTTAAATAATTCAATGTATTTACTCGACGGTTGGTTAAGATAGTGTTCCGGATCATGTCTGACCAATGAAAGATACCATATTATACTAGCTATATGACTGCAGCAGCCTATTGTACGACCCCCATTAGGACATTTGCAGCACCAGTCAGTCGCAGAGTCTTTCGTATACCTTACTCACGACCCTGGGATTAAGAGTCCCATGCTCTACCGACTGAGCTAGCCGGGCTACCTTACTGTATACCTTACTAAAATGTCATAATTTTTCCTATTACTATGTTTTGACTGAATATTCACTTTTAAGAGATTTTTAGTATCGGTTGATACTTGAATTGCATCTTCACCATCGTCACTAACGTGTTCCACGGCATTGATTAATTTTGCCAAAGACGCGTCAATCGCTATATGCAAAAACTGTTGCCAACACTTGATTACTTGGTCCGGTTCTCAATTTTTGTAAGCAGACAGCCAATTGCCATTCGAATCGATCGATTTTCCGTGTTTCTCATTCGTACGATTTCGGTTAAACTATTAAATTGCTCTCTATCGATACCAGTTAAACAGCGATAGTCTTCATCCCTATAGAGAAAGAGGTCATCAAAATTCAAAATAGTACGTGGTTTAAACAAAAGACTGTGGTTTTATCTGTTCCAAATGTGATTGAAGTTCTTTGATTAAGAGAGAGATTTGTTCGCCGTTTGCAGTATTTTCAGCAGTGGCCGAATGATATTTTTGAAGGATTTTCAGCTGCTTCATTTAAGTGATCGCCTTCGATATGGCGAAGACAGGAGCGTGAGCCGTCTTTAAAATAAACCGAGTGATAGATAAACGTATTGATTTGAATTTCGTCACTCATTTTTGTAGAAGGTGTTCCGTCATCCAAACTTGGATGGCATACCAAACAATATTTCTTTGAGAAACCAGGAAATGCAATCGGCAACTTAATTGTGTCTTCAGTTAAAAGAGAGCATTCCGTTGTTTTGGCATCTGAACTGGACGAAGTGGTTTGCAATCCGACGGAAGAAATAGTTACAGTTTCATTTTCTCTCGTTCCAGTGTCCATCTCTATATTTGAATCATCTGTACTTGCATCACTTTTAACGCTTCTGCTGTGTCTCATGTAACAGGCTGTACATAGTGGAGTCTCATCATCAATATTATATCCGTAGAGTTTTAGGTGCAAATCGTTGACGTAATCGAACATATCCGGCGTGTTTTTCAAGTGACGCTTCTTCTCTTTTCGTAGATCTTTTTCACACAAACCACAACGAGCACTATTGAATGGCATCCTAATTTTTCTAGTATAGCACTCTTTGCTAACAATTATAAAACATATTCGAGGAGGAATGACGTTTTGTGCGATTTAGCACGTCTAATATAATTTTATTAAATACAGAATATAGCACACTACTGTGAAGGTTTCTAATGCCTATAACTGTTCTAATGCCTATAACTGTTTGTATAGTCAAAAAAAATTATTATTTTTTTGTTTCGAATACGTGCCTTCTCATCCATCAATCATTATGTATTCTCTTCTCATTTTTTTATCAGTATTTTAAAACATACAAAAATGAGTATACTTCATTTCTGATTCACTACTTCTCTGTAGTATACGGCAAGAGTGTGAGTACGCGAAAAAACATTAATATTAAACAGAACTCACCAAAATGACGAAGTTCATTCTGAATTATCCGTAAAAAAAATGATTATAGCAAAAGCCCATATAGTCCTTCACTTGGCTATTAATTGTAAAACAACCCTTTGGCGAAATTGTTGGAAGAACGTCAATTCTAACGGATATCAGTGACATACAGCTCTGTCTTGCATTCAGATCAAAAAAATACGTAGCTGATGTCAAAGATTCTTAAAAAGTTCATTTGTGCCGTTTTTCTTACATCAGCGGCAAAAATTGAGCGCTTTTTAAAAGATTGCCATCTTTTTTTATTTTATTTTGCTACCAGCGGAAAGAGCGTGAAAAATTGAGTATGCTAGAGTGTGTTTGCAAGCGGATCATCCACCAGGGAAAAAACTGAGAGAGTCGACTTTTGATGAACGAGTGATTTTTCCTATGTTTTTTGAAATTTTGCGGAACCAGTCCGTTATATTAAAGTGGATCGTGTCTACATTCACTAATTTCAAAGGCAGGCACATCAGTGAATCTAAATAATTGTATTTCAAAGCCTACAAACTTTTCTCTAAGGTTACAGACCCACGTTAATCTTTGAAAGCCAATTTTGCAGGCATATAATAGATGGCGTTTTTCTCCATGAAAACTTACGATTTCACAATTTTTAATATCAGATTCGTAATCAGGATAAAATTCTGGTCCAGAAAAACTTTTTCCCCAATTCTTTTGAAGAAAACAATTTTCCGACTTCCCCCTGGTCCCCCCTTGCCCTAAAATCTTTCGAAGGAAAATGTTTTTTCGAATTTCGAAAAAGTGAAGCGACAGTTTTGTTCAGATTTCGACGCTGATTCCGAAAACGTATAATTCATTGTATTTTGTTGGGGGACGCAAAGTGGCCTTATCGGCCCACGTCCTTTTAGAGAAAGATTATTTTTAAAGAAGAAACATTTCTATTTTCTTACTATAGTACGCGAGAACTATTACTTACTGGACATATTCGAAATGAAATTTCATAAAAAATTTTCTTTTAGCTGTGTATCTTAAATATCTGTTGAAATTATTCTATTATGACTGTTCACTTTAATTGAATCAAAATTGACTCTCCCAAAAAAATCATAATTTACAATTTTGAAATACCTTGGATCAAATGTTGACTGGAAACGAATTTTTGATACATGGACGAAAAAAGTATTAGTTTAGACGAACACTAATCTTACCCCATGCAGAAGTCACCTCCATTTGGCAATGTGTATAGTTTTAATAGTAGGAAAAATTTTGATTAGTTTGTCTAACATTTTTAACTTAGAAAATTGGTAAGAGAGGTTAACACTCTTTTACTCAAATCAGAGAGATGAAATATAATGAAAAATAGTCAAAACTATTACAATATTTCATAGATACACATAAAAAAATCGCTTGTTCTATTTAACAGACTAGAAATTCTATTTTACCATTTGATTCGGTTTCATAACCTTCATTAACTTGACTAACTAAAGATTTAATTTGATTTTTTGATACAAAATTTTCAGGTAGTGATATAAGTTTAAGTTGTCTAATTATTTGTTGATTCTCATCAAATAATTGTGAAGTACGATTATTTTTTTGTTGAGTAAATTGACTGTCCTAAAATAAGAATCATATAAAATATAAATTAATTTCAAAGAGTTTATTTTGTTAATGGAAACAAATACTAACCTCAACTTTCTCTTTCATCTGATGATATTTAATAGCACCAATAACAAGTAAAATTAACATTAATAATAATAGAAACCTAGTGAATGTACTTGCATACAAGTACTTGCCCAAGTACCCTCGCAACTTTTGTCCAACGTTCTTGGCTTTTTTCGCAAGTAAATCAAGTACTTGAATTACTTGATCTGCTTGTCAAGCACTTGGCTAAGTACTTGCCCAAGTAATCCACAAGTACTGAGGAAAGTTTGACAGGTAAATCACGTACTTGCAAGTGATACTCTTGACTAAATTCTACAAGTACTTGAAGTACTTGGAAAGTACATAACAAATAATGTGTATGTGGTGGTAGAATAATGTTTATTCTGTTGGTTTACTTTTATTTTAACCTAGTGAGTGCGTAAGAAACAATTCTGATGAATGCGCAAAGATGAAAAAAAAAATAGATAGAGATATAAGTTATTAAAATGTTCAAGAAAAAAAGATCTAAGTACAAATATTTCGTACTTAACATGAAAATTTTCAGTTTTCTACTTAAAGCATTAGATTAATTTCTAATGTATCGAATACTACCAAGTACTTGTCTAAATACAGCAAACACTTCTCAAGTATTTGTTTACTTGGAATTTTGTGGTCGTCCTTGATGACTACAATCTAGATAAATGTCTGCACCACTCTAACGAAAAAGTTTAAGCACATTTGAACGTTTATCATGAAAAGCCAATGGTAAAGGATCTAAATTTAGATGCTTGGAAAGAAGATAAAATTAGAGTATTTTTAAACTAGACTAATACCATCAACATTAATCGTGTATCTATCTATAATATCTGGTATAACATCGGAACGTTTTGATGTCGCTTTACATTGAATAAAATCTCTATCAGATGTTTACCCACTGAGATGTTGACACGTTTACTATCATTTCATGAATTTTTTCACTAAAACGAAAAAAAATACAAAAAATGATGATCAATCGTAATTTAAATTTTTTTAAAATTTACCCTGAAGTTGCAGACCATTGTAAATCAAATTATTTTCTTTGTTTTGTACCCGCAAGTACCCAATCATTTTCAATATGTTTTCGTTCATAAGTATAAATACCATCGTTATATAAAAACAATATTTCATCATAAATAAGTTCATGTGCTTGACAGCTATATATTAATCTGTCATCTGCCACTAAACTGAATTCTGGCTTTTTAACAACAAACATACTTCGATCATCTAAAAAAGAGAAAATAATTATGAGATACAGATGTTGTCATCATTTTCTACTTTAAACCTTACTTGCCATGACTGTTGCACCTTTTGACATGAGACTATTTTTGTAACAACGCAGATATTGATGACCGATATCAGGATTTGTAATTGTTTCCTTTTCAAAACTAGAGTTGATTAGGGTGAATTTGGAATAAAAACGCGACGCAAATTTCGCTTTTTTAATAACTTTTTTATTTTTTAACATTTTTGAAAACTGATTCGACAGATCTCTCTGGCAGATGATGACCTATCGATCTATCCAAAAACTTTTCGAAAATCTTATCTGGATCACTGAGAGAGACTGTCTCTCTATCCATCGATTTTCTAAAATCACCTTGAATAGGGTGAATTCGTAAAACACGTAGACATGCATGGGGTGATTTTAGAAAATCGATGGATAGAAAGACAGTCTCTCTCAGTGATCCAGATCCAGATAAGATTTTCGAAAAGTTTTTGGATAGATCGATAGGTCATCATCTGCCAGAGAGATCTGTCGAATCAGTTTTCAAAAATGTTAAGAAATAAAAAAGTTATTAAAAAAGCGAAATTTGCGTCGCGTTTTTATTCCAAATTCACCCTAATCAACTCTAGTAAATTGTGTAAGAAATTTATCTATTTCATAAATGTTCACATTCAGTTTTATCCAATTATTTCTTGTATTATCACACGATGTTATGTCAATAAGATCATATAAACAATCATCAAAGATACATGTTCGTTTTAAAATATAAACATCTAATGGTTTTCCAACATCAGATTTATGATGAACAGAACACATAACACGATATATTTCATTCTCATATTCATAGGGATAAATTTTTTCCTTTTGAAAATTATTTCGCCACTTTAAGCCATGTTCTGGTACAAATGAAAGATAAGCAAGTGGATTACCTTTATACGAAAGAAAAGAACAAAATAGTCTTTTAAACATAGCAATAATTTATGAAATTTAGATAATAACGATCGGTTTTATTTCTTCTTTATTTGGAATTTCCGACTTTACACTGATTGTCAACTCTTGTTCATCTTTATATATAACATTCGATATAACTGAAGTATATTATAAAATTGATTTTCACGATTATTCCTAAATAAAATAAAATAAAACACAAAACTTATGAGTGTCAGCCATACGCACAACTAAGTATAATTAATTCATTTGAACAAATTGTAAAACTGAAATATTTATATTTCATGTTGAAATAATCAATTTAGTTTCTAATGAGTACGAACACACACACATACTCATCCCTTATTTTCTTCATATTTCATGCGTACACAATTAACATCATTTCTTATTTGTTGAACGACTTCATTCATTCATGAAAACTGGCAAATATACGTTCTCAAATTTACAGTTGTAATTTAATCAATTTTATATTACTATGTCCACTGGGATACAACTAACCTTTAGCTTACCAGCTAAATGTTTTGACAAAAACATGCTCAGAAAATTTTTGGAGTTGCTCAATAAAACTTCAGTACTCAAAAACTTTGCAGTTACTCAGAAAAAACTTTAGCTACTAAGGAGGCTCTCGATCCTCCATCAAAACTTCTATCGAAAACGTTGGCTAGGACCAACGATCAAAGTCAGTACAAAATGATCAATATGGTATTCTTAGAATAGTGAGCGAACAATAAATTTGAAGAATATTTTAAAAAGAATTAAAACAATCTGTTAAGAATGTATAATTATATATACATTTTGGTCGATAACAAAAGCTAACTAAGAATGTTTGACTAATATGTTGAGATCAAATCATGCCTCTCAAATAATCAAATCAGTTAGATCTACTCTATACTTGTCGTGGACAGAATTCACGAGAAAATCCATTGTAGTTGAAATATGCAGAGTTCTTTGGTGATGAGATATGAGTTTATCTAACTTATATCTCATCAGTCTAAACCATTTTAGTTTAACACATTCTTGGTTGAACAATGACCTATCAGCAATATTATAAAAAATAGACACAAACGAGGTCAAGCGGTGAAAATTAGTCCTCGAGACAACTGTTTACACAGACGTCTTAGAAAAGCAATACAGGTTATTGAAAAAACTTTAGTTTTCCAGATAAGAAACATATATATAATCACGCTGTATTTTCAATTATTATTTATTTTTAAACCATTTTCGTTAGCATAAGAGTCACATTAATTCATACATTTTAAGAGAGCAAGAATGCCTCTTATTCAGACGAATATAGGTGGTCGTGATACGGCTTATAGTGTGAAAACAGATGGCTCTAACAACCATGTGCATTTCGGAAGAGTTGGACCTGGTTGTGACTAAAATTCAAACGACAAAACCGTCGTGGGTATCGATGAGTGCATGAACCCGAGATGAGCAACTCCAACGGCGGAGTTGGGTTGCCAAAATAGCGTTGGAGTTGGATTGGGATGATTCAGATAGAGATGTAGGTGGAGTGGAGTTGAATAGGTCTGGAGTGGAGACGGGGTAGAGTTGCAGCTGATGTCTGCTTTCGAGCTGCGATTCAACTGTGACTGATACAATGAGTGGCAAATGGACTTGCATAGGCATGTTGTTCGCAACGCAACGAACAGTCCTATACATAGATTACCTTCAGCCATTGCAGCGGGAGACAGGGAAGTAGGCACGTGCAGGGCAAAAGTCGGCAACTCCAACTCTGAAGTTAACGCTTTTTCACGGCGGGATGAAACTGGAGTTGGTATGGCTTTTTCTAAATAGACAGAGAGTTAGAACGGATTGGAACGAGAAATAGATAGAGTTGCAGTGGTTTTTTTAATGGTGAGGACTCCATTTGGAGCGGAGTTGAAGTGGAGTTCATAGTGGGAGTTGCGTATGGGTGGTATGCACGACGGGATATGTTGCGATCATATGCGGGAAAATCTGAAGCACATCCCTGTCTATACTTCCTAGCGTTTTCGAAGCTGTGGGGTTTACATTTTGGAAGTTTCGCAAGCATCATCGGGTATCTCCGCTAGTCTTGGATATAGTGTGATATAGACCAGTTTTTTTAAATGCGAGATTCTATGCAATTCGTTGATATTCTTACTTGTTGGTGTTTTCGAACGGCGGCACAATGGATCTGGTAAACCTTAACTATAGTCGTTGTACGACGAAAATTGAAGGAATACTTGAATATCGAGGATGAAACCTATTCTGGGTCTTTTGACTCATCCTGACTGGCTGTAGACGCCAAAATGTTTTTGTTTTTGTTATTTATCACGTGGTTTCTAATAGTGCAGTGGGCTTCCTGTATATTTATTTCGTCCGATCTTATCATTTATTGCTATTTGGCCATTCTTTGAACAAGAATTGCACTTCTCTATTGTTAACTGTTACATGTATAGTTCATTTAATCAAATAATTTTTAAACGTACATGTTCTAATCCATATTTATCTTTGTTTTTTTCAAATAATTGTTTGATTGCGTCAATGTATTTTCTATGAAGTTGATCTATGTCACTGAAAGTTGGCTCAACAACTTGATTGACATGAATGGGTCTACCAACTACAGTAACCACAGGTCGTCGAAGTGGTATATATCCAATAATCAATCGACCGCAAGGGATACCATTAGGTATCAAATTAAAGAAAGTTCGTCTTTCATAAAGTTCATTTTCTCCGAATGAAACAACAGGTACCAGTGAAGCACTAAGATCAAGTCGCGAAAAGAGACAATTGTTTGTGAACGAATTCGAAAGAATCAAACTTACCCATGTTTTAAAGCTAGTCTAACAAAACCTATTCTTCTTTGTATATAAAATATCATGGTGTCATTTCGTGTAGCATGCATTTCAGGTACACCACCGAGAACAATTACCAATGCATTACCCTGACCACATTTTCCACTCAGTAGATATTCACAACTATCGCGTGATACACAGCAAGCACCTAGAAATCAGGCAATAATTGTGTTCAAATAGAAATATAAAAATTCCTCTACCTAAGTTGAGAAATAGATCGCGTGTAAATGGGAATAGAAATTGAAGGCGCAGAAGCATCAAATGTGGCCGAATATTTGGGAAAAGAGCAGAGAAATGTGAAGCATCTGTACCAAAATTACCGAGAGCACTCAACGCAAATGCTCCATGTGGATGATATCCAAATATATAATTTCTGTTTGGATCGAGTTCTTCACTTTTAATCAATTTGAGTGGGAAATAGCGTGCAAATTGTTTCCAAATACACAATCGACGAAATCTATCAGACCAACGGCCTCCGTGTGAATCGGTACGACGATCGAAAAACAGCCAACACCCATATAGAAGACAAACGCCGAAAACAATAAGTAAATACCAATATTGTTTAAATATACAAAGAAGAATAATTGGGATAACGATAAGTAAAAATGTAATAATGGGTGAAAATAGGAAGGTCGTAGTTAGGACCAGCACTACGAAAAATTCAATAATGCGTGTATAAGCCATGGTCTAGAAAATCTGCAATCACCAGAAGGAAGGCATCAGAAAAAGAAGAATAAAAACAGAGTCTTTTCGAGAAAAAGATCGTTTACCAAAATTTCAACTATGGAGACAAGCAGCTGGTGCTGGTAATTGAGTCGTCATTTCTTTTTTGAGTGCTCTGATCAGCTCTCATATGTACGTAGTGAGAGGACAAGCAGTGTCACGGATGGAATGTGACAGAACGAAGGAAAACATGTCCTTCATGGGACTCGAGTCATAAACCTTCTGCTATCTGGGCAGATGTCCTAAGCCAGTAAGACTAGAAGGGGCATCTCGTCTTCGTTTAGTGTCAGAGTGTATCATCACTGACGCCAACAGCTCTCCATTCTATCATACAATAATATTGGCTTGTTTACTAGAATTGAATGTTACCCTATGAGATATATACCTCATATCCAAGCATGGATCATTCACCTTCAGTACTGAAAATATCAATAGGACTATACTCTTGGGATGGTCGCTCAACACTACCCAGGTCGACTCTCGCGCCCCAGTCGCGGCGGTTCCGCGATATCGCGCAAGCGATCGCTATGAACTCCCGTTGTCGCGACGCGATCGCTTATGAGTCGCGAAGTCGCGGCGGGATCTTGAAAAATTCTTATCTAGAGAGAAGAGGAATTTTTAAGAGTCGTGGTGACTTGCGCGACTCTTGTGATCGAGAATTTCAACAGATGTACTCTGCTTAGCCGCGCCACGACTCTTGCTGCAACAAGCTTTTCTTCAAAGGACTTGCTTAGTCGCGGCACGATCGCTAAAAAAATCAAAGTGAATATTTCTTAGCGCGGTCGCTATATTATCGTGGCACGATTCGCGATATGGCGAGTGGCGCCGAGACAATCACAGATATATAAGCAGTATTATTTGCGTAGTCGCGTCGCGATTTTTATCGCTGAGTTGCGGTCTAAGTAGAGGAGTTTTAAAACGTCGCGGCGCGAGTCTTGTTTGTTCTGTGTTATATCTTATATTATCTTTCTGAACTTGTATAACACACACATACTGAGAAAAAGAAAAGAACAGACCACGTGTATGTGCGTTGTGCTCATGGTTACGTTGTTCTCTTCTTCCATCTTTAACTTATTGTAAGGTGCACGCAAAGCAAAATTTTAGCAAAATTTTTTTCCGATAAAAGACACATATTCGGATTTGCCAGAGCATGCTGATCACGAATATGACCTTGAAAGTTTTAAAAAAACCTTTTTTTCGGGGAGAAAAATGCAAAATACTGAAAAGGTCCAAAAACTTCGAAAATTCTTGGCCTTTCGAAAAACACTCATAACTTTTGTCACCAAAAAAAAGATATCGCGTGTAACATCTTACTGAAAAACAGTGAAACCTATCACATTGTCTTCAAGTTTCAGATAAGTCATAATCTTTTACTAGCACTTTGTTAGTTAGAATGCCAAAGCGCAACCAACTACAACTTGGTGATCTTCTTTTTTCTGCAAACAACGTGAAGTGCCTGTTGCATCAACCCTGGCCTCCGAAAAACTCAAAAACAAAGTTTAAAAATTAAAAATAGCATACAGTTGAAAAAAGCACTGTTTGGGGTTTTCTTGATTTTTAGTAAAAATGCTATTTCTCAACGAAAAAATTTGTTTTCCCAAAACCCCTCCTTACGGCTATAGCTGGAGTATAGAGCTATCGAATGGCATAAAATTCAATGGGTTAGCTCCTCAGCAAAAAAACTAGATAGGTTTTTGGCGGAGGGGTCTCATTATTCAGGGTTTTCTATCGCGAGCAGCGCCAAAATTTCAAATTACGGTCTAAGAGTCTGAAACTAGTATGGATATACCCAGTTTTCGACGAGGAATCGAATAAAAAAAAGTTTGAGCTTGTAGCTACTTTCTATAAAAAGTTATGAGTGGTTTTCGAAAGGCCAAGAATTTTCGAAGTTTTTGGACCTTTTCAGTATTTTGCATTTTTCTCCCCGAAAAAAAGGTTTTTTTAAAACTTTCAAGGTCATATTCGTGATCAGCATGCTCTGGCAAATCAAATTTGAAATTCTGGCGCTGCTCGCGATAGAAAACCCTGAAAAATGAGACCCCTCCGCCAAAAACCTATCTAGTTTTTTTGCTGAGGAGCTAACTCATTGAATTTTATGCCATTCGATAGCTCTATACTCCAGCTATAGCCGTAAGGAGGGGTTTTGGGAAAACAAATTTTTTCGTTGAGAAATAGCATTTTTACTAAA